GCGGGCACTGGGGCCTTCGGTGGAGTTCCCTATGGAGCCACGAAACGTGTGAGGGGTGTGCCGAAATGGGTGTGCGGGACGCATGTGGGCGCGGGCACTGGGGCCTTCGGTGGAGCTCCCTATGGAGCCACGAAACGTGTGAGAGGTGTGCCGAAATGGGTGTGGGTGACGCATGCGGGCGGCAGCACTGGGGCCTTCGGTGGAGCTCCCCATGGAGCCACGAAACGTGTGAGGGGTGTGCCGAAATGGGTGTGGGTGACGCATGCGGGCGCTGGCACTGGGGCCTTCGAAGGAGGAGGAGGAGGAGGAGGGGTAGGAGAGGAGGAGGAGTAGGGGTAGGAAGAGGAGGATGCTCCCCCTCCTCCCGAAGGAGGAGGAGGAGGGGTAGGAGAGGAGGGGGAGTAGGAGGAGAAGGCGTGTCTTCAGCATCTCGACGTGCGTGTCTGGGTTTCCCCTGTTGGCGTGGGTCGGGTGTCTCTGGGTCGTGGCTCTGGGTTCTCGGGTCCGTGTGTGCGTCGTTTCTCGGGTTCGGGTTCTTTTCGTTTCTGGGTTCGCGGTGTGGTTTCCCGGGTTTTGCGCGTTTCCCTGGGTCGAGTTTCTTCCGGGCCCAAGAGGGCACCAAAACTTCAGAAATCTAGCTTTCCGCCTCCAGAGGGCCCCAAGAGGGACCCAAGGAGTCCCAAGAGGCCCCAAGGAGGCCCCAAGAAGCCCCCAAGAGGTCCCCAAGAGGCCCCAAAAGGCCTTCAAACGGCTTCTGTGAGGCCTCAAAACTGCCCCTCTGAGGCCTTCGAGAGGCCAACCACGAGACCCCAACCAACATCCATGAGGCCTCTGACCCACAATCCGGGCACGGTGGCGGGATAGGCCGAAGGTCATTAGATAACGCAAGAAGCCGCCAGGAAAACTCGAGAAGCGCACAAGAGGCATCGCTGGGGGCCGCAGAGGCCCCTCTGACGGGCAAGGCCGCGTCCGGAAGACCCCCGAGACGGCCTGAAGTGATTACAAAACAGAGGGTGACCAGGGTGATTGGACGTCAGACCAATCGGCCAATAAACGAGACACTGGACGCAAGATGGGTCGGCCGGCGAAGGAAACCGTGTAGATTTTTTTCTGTCGCCGCCCTATCGCCGGAGGATGTCCACGACAAAGTCGGGAAGCGCCCCAGACATGGCCAGCAGGGTTCACCTCCTCCTCCCCCTCCTCATCCTTTTTGCCACCTCCTCTTCCTCCTCCTCCTTCCAATACTCGTCCTCTTCGTCCTGGTGCATTTCACTTACTACACCCCCCCTTCTCCCCAGATGTCATCCTCTCCCAAATCCTGTTCGTGTTCCCCGTCGCCCACCTCCTACATTCTCCCCCTCCCGGCCTCAATCGCCCACTTGCTCATGATCCGCCCCGCCCTACTGGCCTAATTATGGAATCGCTAACTTGCTGTTCCTGTAATCGCCCCCACTGGGAACTGAGAGATGGTACTTAACAGCCCCTGGCCCTGGCTCATCGTGCCGCGAGCCGCCTACGTGGCAGACGGGGCGTCAAAAGTTAAAAACCTATCATTGCCGCTGGGGGGTGAAAGCGTCGGCCTGGTCGTTCATCCCCCTCCCCCCCCCTCCCCCATCCTCCTCCTCCTCCCCCTCCTCGTCTTCCTTTCCCCCTTCCTCATCATCCCGTTTCCTCCTCCCCGCTCTTTCCCTCCCCCACCGCTCCATCCTCCTCCTCCCTTCTCCTCCCCCTCCCCCGTCCTCCTCCTCCTCCTCCTCCTCCTCCTCCTCCCCTCCCTCCCCTCCCTCCCATTCCTCCTCATCCTCCTGCCACCACCACCCCGCTTCCTCATCCTTGCCCCACCCAGCTCCAACCTCAAAACTGCTCGCGCCTTTACGCGAGGGGGCAACGCCCGCTGACTAGGCCGCAGCGCCATTGTCAACCTGCCCTCCCGTCTCGCTTAACCTGCAGCCGCCCCGCCTCCGGTCGCCCCGCCTGCACTTGCCAGCCAGGCCCTGCACGTTAGGATGGCAACAACTATATACACGTATGCCGGGCCTGGCCGGCCCATCCATAGCTCAGAATTGGGACAGGGATGGGCATGGCCAAGGCCGGTGACGATATAGGCAGGCGTGACGCTCAACTCTCCTGCGCGGCAGCCCACAGTGTCTTGTGTGCCCATGACTCTGGTTTCTGGCCGAACTGCTTTAGGATCTCCGTAAACTCGTCCCTGTGAGTGTTGATGTGTTTTTTCTTGGTGAGGCCCTGCATCTTGTGCGCCTGCAACATCCTGGCCTCGAAAGTGGTCGCGGCCCCGCGGAGGCAGGCTGCCATCACGTTTTGGTCCACGGCGAACTCCTTGCCCATGGACTTGTGGAGCGTCATGGCCTCAGAGAGCTCCGCCCTCAGGGACTCGCCTCTCTTCCTGATGGCTTCCATGTACCCGCACTTGACCGTGGAATCCCCGCGTTTCACGAGGTCCTCGATGCCAGCGTCCGCCGCGACGCCGTCGAGCCACCATTTGCCCTCCTCCTGAAGGAAACAAGAAAACCTGGGCGGACCAGAGATCCGAACCCCGCTCGCTCGTCGGGATGCCTGGCGATAGCATCACAAAGGGCGAGGCGGACAATTGGCATGCTCGGACGTTCTCTCCCCAGCGTGGTCCTTGCACCCGCCGTTCACCTTTTCCAGGCGCATCCCGGACGACTGCAACTTGTCCCCGTACTTGATCTTCAAGGCCTCGTACGTTTCGTCCATGACCGGGCCGCAGTCCTCGATCATGCCGTCGAAAGCCTGCAAGGCCGGGCATATCCCTAAAACTGCGCCGCGCGGCGCGATGTCATGGTGGACTCAGCGCTCAGATGGCCCATAACATCACACTATCTCGCCGGCATTCTCTGGCTCTGGCCCCTCGGGCCCTTCCAGGCCGTCTGGAATAAATACACGCATATATTGGGGAGAACCCAAGGCCCGGGCCACCCAGAGGCCCAATGCACTTTTACCGCCGGCCGCGGGCGCCGACGGAACCGCGGGCCATCAGCAAACATCCAAGGTCATCGGCCACATCTCTACCAGCGCTTCCCGACAATAGGCTAGGACATTCAGAGTTTTCGCGGTATTCTCTGTGGCCTGCTCTACTCTACAATGTTCTATCGCACTCTGCCTCCACCCTGCTGCGCCCTGCTCTGCACTGCCAAGGCAGGTCCGGGAACGGGGGCGCAGGAAAGGCAAGGGCGGCAAACGCCGCACCAAACCATGGCAGGGCAGCCTCGAGCGGCTCGAGGCTGCCCTGCCATGGGCCACGGTTTGGCGCGGCGTTTGCCGCGCCACGCCCATGGGGGGGAGGGCGAGACAATGGCCTCCTTGACCACCAGCATCTCCGACGGCGAGGCCTCGGTTACTTTGCAGCACTTGTAGGCGTTGATGTTTTCCTTCAGCGCCGACAAGTTGTGGACCCTGTCCTTGTCGGCGGCCCCCGTCGACGCCCGCAAAGCGGCCCGCGACTCTGCGACGGCAGCACCTGCCCTTCCAACGCTCAAGAACTCCTTCAACATGGCATCGGTGTCCCTCTTGTTCCTGGCGTCTTCCTGCCGGACCATCTTGAACGCACAGATGTCCGTCGCGGCGCACGCCAGCTTGTCGAACGCTGGCTGGGGGTCCATCGCCAGGGGGATCATCTTCGCAGCGACGAAGACAAAGTTGCGGCAGTCAATGAGGTGAGAGGCGAGGTCCTCGTCGACGTCATGCCCTCTGCAGCGGTCCAAGCAGCCCTGCACCACGTCGATGTCGTCGTGGCCTCCTGTCCAGGACGTCACCGTCTCCTTCAGCTGATCGAGCGCGTCGCCCTTGTTGAAGCCATCGATGATACCTTGGTAATCCGCCTTGAACCTCTTGCAGATGGCATCCGCCGCACCCCCCCCCGCGGGGCCTCGGGATTATTATTGCCTCCCGCGAGCGTTCGCGAGTTATCGGAGATCGCCCATCCTAGCGCCACGATCCTTCGTAACATGTGCGGGGCCCGCGCCCCCAGCGCGACAACCCCTTGCAAGTTGCAGAAGGCCGCGCTCCTATGGCACGGATCTCTCGTGAAATACGTTGGGCCTCGATATCACGGCCTCGACCCCTCGTCAGAGTGATAGGGCCGAACGGTCCGACAATGTCCCTGGTTGCGTGGCTGAGGTGGGGACCCGCGGTGAGGATTTTGCTTGTTGTTGTCCTCGTCCCGGCGGGCGTGTCTCAGCGCGGGCGGGTCGCGGCGCAAGTGGTTTGCGGCGCCGATGGGTCGAGGGTGGGCCGCGGGCGGGTGGCAGGTGGGTCGCGGCGCGGGTGAATCGGCTAGTCCAGGAGGGGCTCCAGGAGGGCCGCGAGGGGTGTCCGAGAGGGGCTCCAAGAGGTGGAGCCCTCCTGGCAGCCCTCTGGGGGGCACTCTTGGGACTCTCCTGAAAACCTTCTGGGGCACTCTGGGGACCCCCGCGAGAGCGCTCTCAGGGGGGCCGAAAGAAAAACTAAGAGGGCCCCAAGACCAGGCCAAGGGGGGCCGACACCTGGCCAAGGAGCCCTCTTAGGGCCTTCCTGAAACCGTCTCGGGGCCATGTTTCGGGGGGCTTCTGAGCCCCAGAAGAAGGCCGAGTAGCGCTTTAAGAGGGCCCAAAAGAGCCCCCAGAAGGCCCCAAGACCAGGTGTCATGCCACGGGGGGCGGAAACCTTGTCAAGGGGCCCTCTCGGGCCTTCCTGGAACCCTCTCGGGGCCATGTTTGGGGGGGCTCCAGAGCCCCAGAGAAGGGCCCAGGTAGCGTTCTGAGGGGCCCCGAGCATGATGGACCCACGAACCCGGAAAGGGATATAGACATGCGCAGCATGGTCACGTTTTCACGATACCCAACTGGGCGACACCCCACAAAACATCCCACGAGACACCCCGCGAAACATCCCACGAGACACCTCGCGAAACATTCCACGAGACACCTCGCGAAACGTTCCACGAGACACCCCGCGAAACATTCCACGAGACACCCCACGAAACATTCCACGAGACACCCCACGAAACATTCCACGAGACACCCCACGGGGGATGCGACTGGGTGTGGTCGTGCTGGGGTGTGGTCTTGCTGGGGTGTGGTCGTGCTGGGGGGGTGGTCGTGCTGGGGCTGGTGGTCGTGCTGGGGCGTGGTCGTGCTGGGGCGTGGTCGTGCTGGGGTGTGGTCGTGCTGTGGTGAGGTCGTGCTGGGGTGGTCCGCACCCTGTGATTTAGCACCGCGAGCAACGACAGGCAACCACTCAACCAGGACAACCACGAGGAGACGCGTAACGCACGCAACGGTACGGGCGCCACTCATCAAACACACAGGGAGTCCGTGGCTGCATCGGTTGAGTGGTTGCCTGTCGCCGCCCCCTGGGCGGATCCCCCTCGTAGTCGTCGTCGTCGTCGTCGTCGTCGTCGTCGTCGTCGTCGTCGTCGTCGTCGTCGTCGTCGTCGTCGTCGTCGTCGTCGTCGTCGTCGTCGTCGTCGTGCTGGGAGGTGGTCGTGCTGGTGAGTGGTCGTGCTGGGGCGTGGTCGTGCTGGGGCGTGATCGTGCTGGGGTGTGGTCGTGCTGTGGTGAGGTCGTGCTGGGGTGTGGTCGTGCTGCGGAGCAAGCGTTTCGCTCGAGACATCCTCAACGCACGAAAAAGTGGCCCGCACCCTGTGATTTATCGATCGGGATTTCAAGAACAAGCGTTTCGCCTGAGACATCCTCAAATTTTAATCCGCCGGCCTCCTTCGACCTCGATATTTATCAAGGAAAGAATCCGCCGGCCTCCTTCAAGTTGGGCACGGGGGGACATTGTTTACATACTAAAAGAGAACCCTGGGCCTTTGCCCTTTCCGGGAAAAAACCCTCAGTGGGCCCCGAGACCAGGCGTCAGGCCAAGGGGGGCCGACACCTGGCCAAGGGGCCCTCTCCGGGCCTCCCTGCATTCCTCCTGGGGCCATGTTTAGGAAGCTTCGAAGGCCCTGTCGGGATTCCCCGATAAGGTTCAAGAGGGCACCGAGAGTGCAGAGGGGGTCCTCCCTCTCAGGCGCGCGACTCCACCCTCCATCCTCCCTGCTCCCTCAAGCCCCAGACAGGCAACGGCACGCTGAGTCCAAACATGATGGACCCACGAACCCGGAAAGGGATATAGACATGTGGAGCATGGGCACGTTTTCACGATACCCAACGGGGCAACACCTCACGAAACATCCCACGAGACACCTCACGAAACATCCCACGAGACACCTCACGAAACATTCCGCGAAACACCTCACGAAACATTCCACGAGACACCCCGCGAAACATTCCACGAGACACCCCACGAAACATTCCACGACGACAGGCAACCACTCAACCAAGGCGGTGTGGTCGTGCTGGGGAGTGGTCGTGCTGGGGTGTGGTCGTGCTGGGGGGTGGTCGTGCTGGGGTGTGGTCGTGCTGGGGGGGTGGTCGTGCTGGGGGGTGGTTGTGCGGGGGCGTGGTCGTGCTGGGGCGTGGTCGTGCTGGGGCGTGGTCGTGCTGGGGTGTGGTCGTGCTGTGGTGAGGTCGTGCTGGGGCGTGGTCGTGCTGGGGCGTGGTCGTGCTGGGGCGTGGTCGTGCTGGGGTGTGGTCGTGCTGGGGTGAGGTCGTGCTGGGGTGTGGTCGTGCTGGGGTGTGGTCTTGCTGGGGTGGGTCGTGCTGGGGTGGGTCGTGCTGGGGTGTGGTCGTGCTGGGGTATGGTCGTGCTGGGGTGGGGTGTGCTGGGGTGGGGTCGTGCTGGGGTGTGGTCGTGCTGGGGTGTGGTCGTGCTGGGGCTGTGGGGGTTGGGGTCGTGCTGGGGTGTGGGGGTCGTGCTGGGGTGGGGTCGTGCTGGGGTGGGGTCGTGCTGGGGTGGGGTCGTGCTGGGGTGTGGTCGTGCGGGGTGGTCCGCCCCCTTTGCATCGATCGGGTCGTGTGGGGTGTGGTCGTGGTGGGGTGTGATCGTGGTGGGGTGTGGTCGTGTTGGGGTGTGGTCGTGCTGGTGTGGTGGTCGTGCTGGGTGGGTCGTGCTGGGGTGTGGTCGTGCTGGGGTGTGGTCGTGCTGGGGTGTGGTCGTGCTGGGGTGTGGTCGTGCTGAGGTGTCCCGCACCCTGTCATTTATCGATCGGGATTTCAAAAACAAGCGTTTCGCCTAAGACATCCTCAAATTTTAATCCGCCGGCCTCCTTCGACCTCGATATTTATCAGGGAAAGAACCTGACCGCACAAGAACGGGAAGCGCCGTTTTTGCTCATAGCAGTGTTTGTCGTCAAAGCTCTGGACGCCAGCGTTCGTACTGGGAGCTCTGGCGTTCGAAGCTGCCCACGTCATCGTTCGTAATGGAGCCTTGGGATGTCGTGGTCGGTCTCTCGTAGGCCTCTTAGAAGCAATTCTGAAGCCTCTTGGGGGCCGTTTTTGGGGGCCGTCTTGGGGGCATCTTGGGGGCCTTTTTGGGGCCTCTTGGGGGCCTCTTGGAGCGTCTTGGGGGGCTCCCGGGGGCCTCCTGGACCCTCCGGGGGGCACTTGGGGCCGGGGACCCGAAAAGTCCGTTCGTGTACCTCGTCTGGGCCCCCTCTAGGAGCCATATTGACGGCCTCTTGGGCCGCCGCGAAGCCTCTTGGGGCCGTGTTGGGGCCGCCTTGGGGCCTTCTGGTGCCTTCTTGGGGCCGTCTTGGGGGCCTTTTGGGCCGTCTTGAGGCGATCTTGGGGGCCTCTTGAGCCGTCTTGGGGCGATCTTGCGGGCCTCTTGGGCCGTCTTGGAGCGTCGGGAAACGGAAAAGGCGAGAACCCCAAAAACCTTCAAAAGTATTCAAAAATCATAAGTTTGTGCCTCTTTGGCGCTCATTGTGAGGCCTCTTCGAAGCCTCTTGAGGCGTCTTGGAGGCCTTTTGAAGGCCTCCTGGGCCGTCTTGGAGCTCTCTTGGACCGTCTAGAAGCCATCTTAAGGCATTTTGGAACGCTCTAGGGCGGTCTTGGAGCGCTCTTGGGCCGTCTTGGAGCCCTGGTGGCCGTCTTGGGCGCGTCTTGTTCAGATGTTTTGAGCGGAGTGACAATTTTCCGAAATTTCCCGGAAAACATCATATAGAACGCCAGTCGGAGCATGCCGAAAATAAACATCGGTAAGACTCGCCCCGAGGATCACCTACTAGAAAGTTGGATCTCACAGGGCTAATAGAAGCACCTCCACCGCGCACACCCTGCCGCAGCTTTGCATCCACATTGAGCCAAATACAACATATGCCAACAACATAGAGCACGTGAGAGAGCGACCTTAATCGTCGAGGGCTATCAAGAGCACCCACGGCATTGCGCACTGGAACATGATGGACCCACGAACCCGGAAAGGGATATAGACATGTGGAGCATGGGCACGTTTTCACGATACCCAACGGGGCAACACCTCACGAAACATCCCACGAGACACCTCACGAAACATCCCACGAGACACCTCACGAAACATTCCGCGAGACACCTCACGAAACATTCCAGGAGACACCCCGCGAAACATTCCACGAGACACCCCACGAAACATTCCACGACGACAGGCAACCACTCAACCAAGGCGGTGTGGTCGTGCTGGGGAGTGGTCGGGCTGGGGTGTGGTCGTGCTGGGGGGTGGTCGTGCTGGGGTGTGGTCGTGGGGGGGTGGTCGTGCTGGGGGGTGGTGTGTGGGGCGCGTGGTCGTGCTGGGGCGTGGTCGTGGGGGGTGCGTGCTGGGGCGTGGTCGTGCTGTGTGAGGCTGTGCTGGGTGTGGTCGTGCTGGTGGTGGGGTCTTTGATAGGGTGGGGGGTAGTGCGGGTGGGGGGCGTTGTGGGGTGGGGTCGTGCTGGGGGTGTTGGGTCGTGCTGGGGGTGTGGTCGTGATGGGGTTGTGGGCGTGCT